TAAAGCTGCAAAAATAAAAAGCCCGAAACTGATTTTGGTCAAGCAATCACTTCCATTCTGGCAAGGGGGTCACAGCCTGGAGCGCCCTTGGCACCTGTCCTTTGTCCCTGCCCCCAGCATTCTGCAGCCCCTGTGCCGGTCCCACTCCGAAGGCAGCTGCAGTTTCCCTGCTGAGACAGATCATAACATCGCCCCCTGCGTCCCTGCTTCTCGGAGGAAATTCATTTCACCAGCAAACTCTATAGAACTTTAGATCCCAACAGAACTAGCATATGCTGTTATTTCTCCAAATGAAATAAAACCTGATCCAAATTTCTCTTCAACCTGCTGGCTGCAAATTAATCATGTTTTGAGCCATTCCTCCTGGACTTGAACAAAATCCCAGAAGGTTCTATACAGTTCAAACATTCAAGGACGTGCTCCCTGTTCATCAGCCCCACGTGTGCCCCAGATAAGCTCCCTGGTCACCCCCGGTGCTCCCTTTGCGGTGGGCCGTGTCTGAGCTGAGTCTGGGGGGTGCTCTGCCAGTTTCCCCACGGCAGTGGCTCTGTGTTGAGTATCCTTCCAGTCCTTAACGTCTCTGATGGAACTGGGGTCCCAGGGACTCACGGGACGGCAGTCACAATGACGTCAACAACAGGGAGTCATCCCACCCTTCGCCCCAAGACACCCTCTGCCCTGGCCTGGCCTGAAAACCCCACATCTCTGCAGCTTCCTCTGCAGGCCCAGCCAGCACGGCTCCTCTCAGGAGGCCAAGGCTCTCAAAGTCAGCTGCCTGGCCTCTTCTGCCTTTGCCCCTATGGCACGATACTGTTAGCATCTTGTGGGCAACAGCCCAGAGGCAAGCGAGCACACGGTCTTGGCTGTTTCCTCAGGAAGGAAAGTGCACGCCTCGGCCAGGGTGACGTCAGGGGGAGGAGTCGGTCAGCATGGGGCGTTGAGGGAGCCAGGTTGGCCATCTCTTGTCTGGTTGTTCCCCTGTGAGTAGGTGGCACACTCTTAGTTCTTGTTTTGGCTTCTCACAAACTTTCTCTTCCTTCTGGAGTCTCCCGGTCAGTAAGGTTGCAGGATGAATGAGGTCTGACTCTCAAGAGCTTGCTGGTCACGGGGGAGAGAGCCCACTCTGCACCCTCACACTGGGGCCGAATGCCTGATACATCTAGACATCGGCCAAGTTCAGGACAGCAAGGTCCTAGAGCTTAGCCTCAGTTCTTGTCACCAAGTCACTTTACACCATGGGTGAGAATCGATCGTGCCCAGCGGTGTGTCTAAGCTTTCTCTTTGACAGCTCATGTCTCTTCACACTGGTAAAGGCCAGCAGACACCCTGAGGACACTATAGGGTGCAATAAGGATGATCAAGCCATGCCAACACGGTTTTGGGTAGCCAGGCAGCCACCGCGCTGCTGAGGGAGGCCTGGCAGTCATCCCCTCCCAAGACTAGACCTCTTGAGCGGAAACCGGAGACATGCGTCAGACCCAAAGGAGGCAGCGGAAGTGTCTTCGTACGTGGCAGCCCGTAGGCTTCCTGATGTGCCAGGGCAGCCCGGCCGTTAACCGTGTTTACTTGCCATCCGCAGTAAGCTCCGTACAGATCATGCCGCACACGTCGTTTTTCCAAGGTCCTCGTTAGCACAGGACGATGGGATCACAATCAGTGGAGTGACGGAGACAGGGCAGAGAGGGGAGCTGCTGAGGGGACCCACATGTGTCCACCGGCCCAGCGGGGAGACCCTCTGTGTGTCCACCGCACCGGCTGTAATGAAATCCACGCGCCAGGCTGTGCTCAGCCCCTGCAGGGTGTAGACAGGAACCTGGGCACCGTCCCCCTCCGGCCGCCCTCCTCTCTGGCCGTGCACATCACCCCCTCACACACTAAGCTGAGGCCCACGATGCCTGGCTGGAATGGAATCCACCCGGCAGGACCCCCGTGCACATGTGAAGGTTCTGGAAGGAGCGGCCCCCCCAGGACACGTGCACGGACGGCTCACCGGTTCAGCAGGCACACGTGTCCTGTGCGCCTACCCAGCCCCGAGCGCTGCGTGGGGCGTTGACACCCAAGGTCAGCTGAGACCCGTCCCCAGTCCGAGGACGTTACCATCAGGGACAAAGACATCAGAGACCAGGGGACATTCTAGTCCAACTCGTTCACTTTTTCAGTGACTCTATTTTTTATTTTGTGGTGCTGGGGATTGAACCCAGGACCTCATGCATGCTAAGCACATGCTCTACCACTGAGCTATGCCCACCAGCCAAGTGATTATCTTTTTTTAAGTTCTGCTGTTGGAATGTGGGCCATGTTCCTTTATTTTCCCCTTTAAAACGTGTTCCGAATGATCAGAGGTGCATTTGGATGCTTCCTTCATCTGTAGGTCCTCGGGCGTGAGTTCTCCTTTTACTGACTCTGTTCAGCCTCACAGTGATGAGTTTCCGCACGTGCTGTGAGCACGTCTTCCCCCGGAGTCCCGGAAGCGCCCGGGGTTGTGCCGGCACCTCTCCGGGAGCGGTGATCCTTTCTGCCGGGCGGAGGCCGTGGGGGTGGCGATTAGCTCCAGATCAGCTTTTACATTCAATTCCTTCTCAAATTTTTCAAATAGTGCAGACTATGAATCGAAGCCCCACACACCAGGCGTGCCTGGGGTCCAGAGCCCACGCGAGGCACTGCTCTGCCTTCCCAGATGCAGAAAGTCAAGCGCCACTCACTCTAGGCAGACACGGTCGCTCCGTCCCAGCTCCGGGCTTTGCAAAGCTGCTCCCCGATTCTCATCACCCACAGCATCCGCACGCTCCCCGAGCATGCACAGGCAGCTGTCAGGCCTCAGACCCTAAGATGTCCTTCTGGTCCCAGCAGCTTCATGAGGTGCTTGGCTCTAATCCCTGCTTGTACCATCTTTAACTCCCCTTCTTCTGCAGCATCTGCAAATATGCCTTGCCACACTTCTTAGGTACACCTATGGCATTTTCAAAATTGTTCAGCTTTCCTTTGCATCTGGAGTGCAGACTGGTGGATGAGAGAGAGTGGGTTTCACACCACCCCGTCCATCTTCACACAACCCACCCCCACTTGACAACAGGGGACCTGCATCCCAGAGAGAAAGGACACTGATGGCTGCAGGGCCAGCGAGAATCCAATTTAACCCTGTTACTCCCTGACGCAAAGCAGAGCGGGCCCGTGGTAGCCTCGAAGTAGTGACCGAATGATATGACTGGAGCACGGGAGTTGGCATCTGAAACTCGGGTCTAAGGCCCCGTTTACCACTCACTGTACGACCTCGGGCCCTCATCTCCTGGGCTTCAGCCTTCTAAGCCACCGCAGGGACCTCAGAACTTGTGCCACCGGGAGGGGGGTTTGGCAGCGGCAGGAACGGGGCAGAGTGCCAGGTGCTAGAATAAGACACAATAAAGGTTGGTCCGGCCCTGCCTTCGGGCACAAGGGCTGCAGTGGTTTGTTTTCGGGCCTGAAACAGCTGACGGGGCCTTCAGGGCGGCTGACCCTTCAGGAAGCAGATGAGGGGGAGCAGGACTGGAGCCTGGGTCAGACCACGCGGCCCCTCCACTCCTGACCACACTGTGCTGGGGGCCTCAGTGCCCCCGCCTGAAGGAGCAGGAGCCGCTCAAGCTTTGGAAAGTCCACTTCACAAAGTCACCTGGCTCAGAGCAAACGCACGTGTCTGGGAACAGGACGGACCGGCTCCCTCCGGCAGTCGTGGCAAAGATCAGGGGCTTCGGCAAAAGCGCTGACCTCCCCGCGCCTGACGCAGTGTCACACCAGGTGCCTCAGCCCGGAGGACGCCGTGCGACCAGTGCACAGTTCCAGCCCCTAGACAGAGCAGCGTGGCAGCGTGAGCCCTCTTCCAGCACCGTGTCAAAGAGCAGGGGTTCCTTCTGAGCCAAACAGGGAGGCTGGGTGGCTCAGATCACCATCATTTTTCTGACTTTTTTTGGGTTGTTCTCATTTTGAATCTAAACCTCCCCAGAGGCCAAAATAATACCTTCCCCCAAATGCACTCGGCAGGCATAACGTCAAAGCCTGTAACACAGAAAACCTGCTCGCAGAGGGGAGGTGGTCGGGCCCCGCGACGGTTTCTTCCCTTCCGAGGCCACGTGGAGTCCTGGAGGGGCACGTGAGGCAGGGATTAGAGCCAGGCCACCTCTTGGTCACAGTGTCTCAGTTCCACCCCCGGGTGGAGCCGCTCAGACGGTCAGGTCTTTGCTTCCCTTGTACGTGACGGACGTGAAGGTAACGAGAGTTGCCCGTGTGTGCGCACGAGATCACACATGGGAAGGGCTTAAAAGAGCATTTGGCATCAGCAGATGCTCCAAAGATTGCACCTGGTAATACTGCTGCGGTTATAAAATAGTTCAGTAGGAAGCCGTACCATGGTGAGGACATCACAATGATGCAGATCGATGGGTCGTCACAATTCACAGCACTTCCCAGATGCCATGTGTAAAAGGAGAGAGGGTGGAGCCTAATGTGACCCTGGGCTTTTCCTGAGACTCGGGGACACCACTTTGATGCACTTACCTCGGGGACTCTTCAGCAGGACTGCCCCTCTACGCTCAAGGAGAGGCCTCAGGTGATTTAGGTCCCAGCCCTGGATACCTGGTTACAGGGTCCGCAGATGTTTGCCAGATGAGGGCTGCCTCTGTGCTGGCCCCAGGTGGCATTTTTATTGAAGTAGAGTTGATTTACAAGGTTGTGTTAGTTCCTGGTGTACAGCACAGTGATTCAGTTAGATATATATATTCCTTTTCATATTCTTTTTCATTATAGGTTGTTACAAGCTATTGAACCCTGTGCTCTACAGTAGAACCTTGTTGTTTATCTATTCTGTATATAGTAGTTTGTATCTGCTAAGCCCAAACTCCTAATTTATCCATCCCCATCCCTTTCGCCTTTGATAACTATAAATTTGTTTCCTATTCTTATGAGTCCATTGCTTTTCTGTAAATAAATCCATTTGTGGTGTATATACATGATGGAGTACTACTCAGCCATAAAAAAGAATGAAATGATGCCATTTGCAGCAACATGGATGGACCTAGAGACGATCATACTAAGTGAAGTAAGTCAGACAGAGAAAGACAATTATCATATGACATCACTTATACATGGAATCTAAAGAAATGACACAAATAGATGGTATTTTTATGACCGACTCAGTCTCACTTATGAATTGGTCCATGTGCACTTGCAGCCTAGGTAGGAGGCAGAGGCCTCTGACAGCAGGCTGAGTCTCACAATGAAGCATCCAAGTGTAGGAGCGTGGCCCTAACGGGCCCACCTGCCAGTTGGGTGTCGGGTGAGTTACAGACGGAGCGAGGGTGGCTTAGGGAACCCCCGTGGCCCAGAGCCAGCGAGCCCTTCAGCTTCCCCGATATGGCTGCTTTTGCCCAGATATCTTTTGTCTGGACCTTGCTTCAAACTTCCTGAGCCAGAATCTCGGAGGCTAGAACTGACTTAGGAGTATCTGGCACAAAGAAACCCGGCGGGGGCTCCAGGTGGAGAAGCAGGAACGCACACAAACCCCACCATTGTGTCCGTGGGAAACCAAAGTCGGGTCCAGTAACCGGCCGGGCGCAGACTCACGGGGGCAGAGGCAGACTGGAATCTGAGCGTTTCGACTCCTGGTCTTGAGTGGTTTCCATAACACAGGCTGACCCCAAACCCGGGAGCACAGGGCAAGTCTTCAGGTGGGAACGGAGGGTGGAGAGACTGAGAGGCCCGGGGCGGGCTCTGCTTCTCAGTGATGGAAGGGGAGGGGAGCGGCCGCGTGGAGGTGGCTGGGGGCAGGCAGGTTCCCTGGGGGTAGCCGCCCCCAGAGCTGAGGGCACGACCTGCCACCTGGTTCACTGCTGCCTGGCTGCCTGGGGATACGGGCACAGAACTGGCCAACAGCCAGGCCATTTCCTGGCTCCCTATTCTCCTGGGCTCTTAAGGACAGAAAGGGACCTTCACATATTCGAATTCCCTCCTCCCAGGGTGTGGAGGAGGCTCAGAACAAGGAGGAAACCTGCCCAAGTTCACTCAGCCCGTGAGGCCCCACAAAACAGCCAGCACGTCCCCACCCGGCCCTGGCACATCTGCAGTCACCATGCACTGGTAAGGGACAATGACCCCGCCAGCCCCACGGGGTCTTCCCCAGGGCAGTGCCTCCTGCAGCAGCCCAGGGCCCCCTCTGTGTGGGTAGCAGGCTCCTGGGCTGCCCAGACATGCTGACTCAGGTGAAGCCAGGGGGCCCAACTCAGAAGGTGATAACCCTGCACCCCAAAGTCCTATAAACCCTGAGATAAGACCTCAAAACTCTGGGATAGAACTAGTGTATCACATCAGAAAGGCCAAACTGAATGCAGCATCTGTTCTGTCCTGGAAGATTTATCCACGGGACACTCACGTCACCAGCCTGCGTCCCCTGTGCTGGGAACAGCTCAGCAAGGCAAAGAGGTCCCGCTTGGAGGAAGTGGGCTGGGGCAGGGATGGAAGAGCCCAGACAGCTGGGCACGGATCTGGGATACTTGTGCCCCAGATGGGGCACGTGCCAAGGTGCAAAGGGAGCAGGTGCTGGAGGACACTCCACAGCGCCCAGAGCAGGGGCCGAGTCTCATCGCCATGGAGACAGCGTCCCGATACTTACAGGGAAACTGGTGTCAGGACATTTCTGAAATGCTTCTGTCCTGAAGGTGGATGCCTCACCAGACCCGATCCCGAGGCTGCGATGGTTAAACTCCTTCCTCACATAACCTCTAACAATGAAGCCTCAACAGACATCAAGTAAGGAAAAACTGGACATAGAGACCAGTGGTTGCCAGGGGCTGGGGGCTCAGAATAAACTGCCAGAGCCCAGGGGACTTTTAGGGCAGGGAAGCACTCTGTGATACTACAATGGTGGATTCATGTCACCGTGTTTGTCCAAACCCGTAGAATGAGCACCACGAAGAGTGAACCCTCAGGTTCACGTGGACTTTGGGTGATAATGACGTGTCAGTGTAGGTTCACCCACTGTCACAAAGGTCCCACTCTGGTGGGGAGTCTGATAGCGGGGGGAGGGGGGCCGTGCCCACGTGAGGAGGGGAATCTCTGATCTCCCCCTGCTCTCAAATAATAGAGTCTTTGGAAAAAAATTAAAATTACTGGAGCATTTGTTTTTAAAAATGTTGTCTGTGAAACCTCTGATATTACGGAGATTTTGAGGCAGGAAGAGTCAGGACTGTTGAGAAGTTAGAGCAGAGGTTTGAGTCTTGAGCTGGTCCCTCAGCCCGACAAGCTCGGGGAAGTACCTCCTCTCTCCCGGCCTCCGGCCAAGCCTAGCGGGGGTGGCGGGCCGCCAGGATGCCTCTTCCCCCGGCGATGTTCCAGGCCGCGGCGAAGATGCCGAAGGATTTCACAGAGAGCCAGAGCAGAGCAGCAGAGTTGCTACGACACCACAGACACGTGCTTCTGGGACGCACAGCCCAGCACATGGCACCGCGCGGGGTCCGTGAC